CGACCTCTCTACTGCCTTTCTTCAGGGCAGCCTACACGAGCAGGTCTACCTGTGCCGACCACAGGGTTTCACTGGTACCTTCCCCCCTGGGACCCAGTGGATTCTCAGGCGCCCGGTCTACGGCCTGCGTCAGGCTCCTCGCGAGTGGCACGACACGCTGCGGGCCACGTTAGCAGATCTGCACTTCTTTCCGTCCTCTGCTAACCCCTCGCTGTTTGTGCGTTCCGGCCAGACTCCGTTCTACATCCTTGTCTACGTAGACGATATGGTCTTCGCTACTGCTAACAGGGACGCACTAGCCTCTGTGAAGGCCGAGCTGCTGAAGAGACACACCTGCACTGACCTTGGAGAGCTGCGTCGCTATCTTGGCCTGCAGATCTTTAGGGACAGAGCAGCACGCACCATCACTCTGACACAGTCACACTTGGTGCGTCAGGTCCTTAAGAGGTTTGGTCTTCAGTTCTCCTCCGCACAGCCCACACCTCTACCTGTAGACCATGGGCTCTCCGCTCCCGTTCCTGAGGAGCCTGTAGAGCCCAGTGGCCCCTACGCAGAGCTGGTGGGTTGCCTCACGTACCTGATGACTTGCACTCACCCAGATCTCCCATACCTCTCAGCATCCTGGCTCGCTTTGTGGCCACTGGCAGACACCGACCTCAGCACTGGTCAGCCGCGAAGAGGGTTTTGTGTTATCTTGCTAGTACATCGGGCATGGTGTTAGTGCTAGGAGGACGCAGGCCAGTGGTCCTTACTGGGCACACAGATGCTCAGACGACTCTGAGACGCTCAGGTCGTCGCAGGGCTACTGCTTTAGCCTTGGTTCTGGTGCTATCTCTTGGAGATCCACTCGCTCGTCGTCTGTGGCTTAGGCCAGCTATGAGGCTGAGATCTACGCTGGTGCCATGGTGGCACAGGAGCTCCGCTGGCTGACCTTCTTGCTCACAGACTTAGGTGAGCGGCCTAGCTCTGAACCCGTCCTGTACGCTGACAACAGGGCCATGATACTCCTGTGTCAGGAGCCTCGGCTTGAAGGCAGCGCAAAGCATATCCAGCTGGGGTACTTCCTCCTACGCGAGCTACAGCAGGGCCGCCACGCCCGCGTAGTTCACTAGGCCTCAGGTGCCAATACAGCTGATATCTTTACTACGGCGCTTGCGCCTAAAGATCATCACCGGCACTGTGTACAGCTTGGTTTTGTTTCTGTAGCTACTCACCTGTTAGGATCCTGATTGTGTACTCTCTATTATATATGCCTGTCAGACTGGCCTTGTGGCCTTACCTCCAGTGGCTGGACTAGTAGTGCTGTCCTGACTTGCTTTAGTCTTGTTTGTACCCTTGCTGACTGGTCTCCAGACCCCTGCCTCATTGGTTGGACTAGTAGTGCCACCTTGAGCTGTTTGCTTCTTGCTTAGCTTCACCCTTCGTCTAGCATAGGGGGTGTGTCAACTTATACATGTTAGCTGTGTACAAGTTATAGGCTAGACTGGGGTATGCTTCTAGTGAGTACAACCAACTAGTATTTGTTCTAGGTTTCTACTTCTAGTTTATCATTCAGTTCTTACTTTAACAGCGCGAAGGCATTTCTGACAGCTAGGTGCACATGCACGCGGGGGCGCTTCGAATGGGTGACCAAAATTCGGAACGAAAAACAAGTACAAATACACTTTTGAGGGAAATCGGGGGTCCTCAAATGATTTACCCCAAACAGCGGGATCTCACAATCCCTTCACGATATTAAGACCCATGGTCTGCTAAAAAGACCCATGGTCCCCTTTTAGGGGGGTAATCATGCCGGGAGATTACGGTATTTTATTTGTGGTGTGGTATGATTCATATGACGTGGTTGATTTTGTGTGACAAAAATGCGACAAAATGTATGTTTTGAAACCATTTTTCCTCCATATTCATTGATTGACCGTTGGTAGGCAAAACATATATAGAGTAAACAGCATAAGGGTCGTATTATAACGACACTATACGAGTGTAAAATATTAACATTCAACCTTTTTACAAGTGTAGTTTTCCTAAAGTTATTTGACACCCTGGCGCACGAAAACATGAAACCAAAAGGTTGCTACCCAACCCATAAAATGGAATACAGCACCCTCCTGGTGTTTCACAATAGCACAACACGACCAGCTCATGCTACGCTGCACCCCAATTGAAAAACGAGCTCTCTTGTCCAGGCTGTCAGAAGTCAGGCCAAAAAGGCCTGAAAGCCTGTATATCAGGGTGTTTTTTAGGGCATACCCTGATTTTTCAGGTTTTGATTTTCATCAAACCTTAAATTTATGTGTTCCCATGTTTTAAGCCCTGAAAAATAGTACGTTCTTGTTTTAGCGAGTCTGACGAATCAGCCTTCGTCGAAATCCGCCCTGAAACAGAATCCTTTCTGCAGGGCGAGCTGGAGCAGGTGTGAGGGGCGTGACAGGTCCTTGACCAGAATCACGCAAATAGTCCTAGGCGAAAGGAGCACGTGTGAGTGGGGTGACAGGTCCTTTACCAGAATGACGTAGGTAGTTTTATGTGAACTGGAGCAGGTGTGAGGGGCGTGTTTGGGCCTTGTCAAAAGCACAGACCAACGAACTGCAGCGTGGCTTTCAGTCGCAGAATGCTAAACTGGAAATCCACGGCGAAAGTTTGCCGTCCCTGCGACTGCACAAACAGCATTCCTGGCAAGTTACGAGGTGACGCCTGTGCCTAAATCTCGGCAAATTACGAGGTTCTGGTTTGGGCGAAAATGCATTTGCGAACAACATGCATGGACGTGGCATTACTTGCGACTTTTGCGTTGTTGAGCATGTGCCGCCATATCTGACGCGAGGGTTGAAAGTCTGAGCAGCGGTCCGGGAAAACTGAGGTTTGACACCAGGTTAGTCTGATGCGAGGACCGTAAGAATACTCTCTGAGTCCTCCGCCAAAATCACACAGGTACATTGTACGCAGTGTTGTCCGATCCGAAATTAGAATCAGATACTACAAAAATGTAGGCCTGATTAGTCAGGCTTAATTGTTTTTTGGCCTGAAAAAATCTGCCACGCCCAAAACCCGACCCTGAAAAACAGGGTTCTCACATGGGCGATCCTGAGCAATCAGCCTCCCTAAAACCAATCTGAGGCCCTGCTCTTGTCTCTCGTAAGTTTCCTGTGTATTTTCTGAAATGCAGTTTCTACGCGTCGAATGCAAAGACCAGATTCAGGAAGATCAATATCTGCTGAGGTGTCTACTGTTGCCCACAATTCCGCTGCCTTGCTGGCCAATTTTATCAGCGCGTGCTGTCGCGTGGACCTCTTGTGCGCTGGCACCAACTTGTCAGATTTTATTCCACCACCCACCGAGTAGAGGGGAGGGGAGGGGAGCAATTATACTTATGTCAGATCCACATTCCTGTATGCGGTCGTTATGTGACCACAACAAGCGATAAATAAAAGTCACAACATTCCAAAATACTGTAGTCAGTTCACAACTTCTTCCTCGCTACGTGAAGGAATGTGTGCATCCTGGGAGGAAGGTTTCCCTTGCCCCAACAGTGATTTATTTCATTGATTTGTGAATGAAATGATACTTTCGAGCCGCACGTATCCCAACGACAGTTACACCTTCCCAAAACCTGCCGACTCTTGACAGCAGGGGACGGCTGAGAGACGACACACGTCAGTACACCTAGATTGCGTTAGTTTTATACCCGGTATTTTCACAGGGGGTGCCTCTTTGAGGGTAATCACCCCCCGAAAGCAGCTCCTGAAGACCAGATCTAGATACCATCGAAAAACAAATTGAGCTTGGGTTTCTATGCGAAAAGTTAACTGCTCGATTGATTGTTTCTTGACTCAGAAAACCCGACGTCAGCTTAGGCAGTGCTCAAAGTGTTTTTTTTTTTTGTTTTTTTTTGTTTTTTTTGTTTTTTTTTTTCGGGTGGTGTCTGTCGCGCTTAGGCCGTAGGAACAAGGGAGTACTGTCAACGGACTGAGAAATGGTCAGGGTGGAGACAAAAGTTTGTCTGCCGTCCAATTTCAGGGTGTAGAAATAACGCAGGCTAGATGTATTTGCCAGATGGGGGCGGCGATTTAGCGGCCGTCAGGTCAGCCGACCGCCTGGGTCCCTCCCTCCCGTTCGGGGCATTTGAGAGGCCGATGGTTTGGGCCAAGGTTGTGGGAGGAAGCAAGGTGACGCACAGCTAGGTGCAGCCTGCGGTTCGACTGCGACCAGTGACAGCAATGTCCGCTCGCGGAACGTAGTGTACGTCTGGCGCCATCACTTTCCAAACCGGTTCCGAAGCCGTCCCGAACGTCCCTGGTCTACACTGACCCACTGCCAACAGAGCAGTTTGGACCGAAGCAGCCGAAGAAGTGGCTAGCGTGGCGAACCGGATGCATACAGTAATTCCCTCACCTAGCATGAACCTACCTTACCAATCAGACCAATTTGTGGCCACCAAACCAGCAACGGGAGGGGACGATCCCAGGCCAGACTGGATCTGGCTGGTTCACCCGTCCGATGACAAGATGGCGGATGGGGTACATCGGATCGACGGCCTCCCGGCCCTCGATCGATGTGCTTTGCCAGCTTTCTGTTGCTCCTAGCCAGCATGCGCGGTGAAGTACCGGAATTGGCGCAGCACCCAGCGTCCGCCCCTCCGCCGTCCCCCAACCCTGCACCAGCTGCCGTCAGCCAGCAGGAGCCTCCGCCCCCCAGCCACCATCGAAGCAGCCCGTGACGGCGCCCTTCCGTGCAGTCGCTTGGGCGTGTGCCCCCTCGACCACTTGCCGAGCCGAGCCACATCCGTCTGCAGCAGCGAGGCCTGCGCGCTCCCCGTTCCCTCCCCCGTGGCCCCTCCGCCCCTCAACGCACATGTGAGCCCTGGCAACACACGCTCCCCTCTTCGCGTCTCTCCTCCCCTCCCGTCCGCCGACCTCCAAACCGGCCAAGACCTGCTGCGCCCCCGCCAACTCTTCGTCTACTTCACATTGCCTTTCACCTAGGCTCGCACTCCACCATCCTCTAGTGTTCAGTGCTCCTTGAGACCCCGCAATTTCTTCTGTGAGTTTCCCATCTGACTATTTCGTCGTTGTGATCCAAGGGTCAACGATATTGGAAGCATGCTAGCCGCCTCGCCTCCGTTCGTGCAGCACGTGCTCCAGGATCGCTGGCAGCAGCAGCAGCAGCAGCAGATCGGCTCGAGTCCTCAGCAGCTGTTCGAACCGCACGTGGTCGCCGCCAGCCGCGCGCCCGTCGTCGCGGACAACAAGCTGCGCGAGCTCGCCTCCATGGCGTCCCTCGCGCACCACCCCTCGTCACCGCCGCCACCGCCCGCGTCGCACGCTCAGTCGCCCGCCGCTTTCGCCGAGCCATGGATTGCGGGCTCTGACTCCCCGTGTGCGCAATCCGCCGCTCAGAGCCCTCCCAGCGGCCCGCCTCCTCGCCTGTCCGCCGGTTGCGGCGACTCTCTCCCGTCGCCGATCCCCACGCCCCCCTGCACGTGCTACTCGCGCCTGCCCGCGGGGTGCGCGTCGGATCCGCACGCGCCGACGGTGAAGTATATCGGCGTGCGGCTGCGCGGGCGCAACCGGTGGGTGGCGGAGATCAAGGACAACAACCACGGCGTGCGCAAGTGGCTCGGCACCTTCGCGTGCCCCGTGCAGGCCGCGCAGGCCTTCGACGCCGCGGCGCGCGCCATTCGTGGGCCGAAGACGAAGGCGAATTTCAAGCGCGGCGACGCGGCGTTCGTGGAGGACGTACCCGAGGTGCTCTCCGTGCTCGCCTACTGCGCGCAGGGCAAGCCGCCGCTCGCAGCCCCGGGGTCGGCCGAGGGCTGCGCGCGGAGAGCGGCGGGAGCAGCTCTGCTGGCAGCGGTGCCCGTGTGCAGGGGCGAGTCTCCGATGCAGTCTCTTCCCGCGGGCCCGCAAGCCGGCAGAAGACCCGGCAAGCCCAGGACGTCTCCCGCCTTAGGCCCCTTGCCGCTCGCTATCGGCCCGCCCACCATCGCCGCGCCGTCCTTGGTCGGCGCGAACCCGCCCGCCGCGACGCCTCCTGCGGTGCGTCCCCCCGTGCCCTCCCCGTCGTCGTCTTCGCTGGTCGCCGCCAGCCCCATGCTGCCGGCCGCCAGCCCCCTGCTGCCGGCCGCCAGCCCCAGGCTTGAAGCCTCGCCGCCAGCGGCCTTCCCGCCTGCGCGCACGGTCGAGGTCGCCGTCAAGCGCGAAGGCGCGGTGCCGCCCGCGCTGCTGCCCGTGGCGGCGTTCGCCGAGGCACACGCGGCCAGCGAGCGCGCTGTGAATCTGCACTCGGCGCACGCAGGCGGGCGGCCGGCGCCAGGCGCAGGTGACGGCGTGAGCTGGGGGCCGAGGGAGCAGAGGGCGGCGTGGTCGGCGCGGAGCGCGGAACGCAACGGCGCGCAGCAGGCAGGTGGCGGTGACGAGGGCGGCGCAGCAGGCATAGAGTGCCCATCGCTGTGGTCGCCGTGCAGGCCGGCTGACAGCCACATGGATGCGGGCGCAAAGGAGCACGCGCAGCACACACACGCGGATGATATGGACTTCAGGTCCTCGGGCCAGGTCAGGCTCGGCAAGCGGAGGTCGCCCGAGCCTGTGGAGAGGCTTCAGTTGGGTAACTGCTTGGCGGGGGACACTGAGGCGAGCATGCATGGAGGCAAGGCGGGTGTGCTCTCTCTGCTGTCGGTTGGAGCCCTCCAGACAATTGGAGAGAGGCTCGGCGGCAGACACGGTGGCGAGACTCTGAAAGTGAAGGGAATGAGCCTTGCCTCTCTCATGCCTGTTGCCGAGCCTGTGCTGACTCCTAAGGAATTTGGGGAGCTTCGGCAAAGGCTCGGGTGGAAGGTGGTACGGATGGAGGACCTGGAGGAGATCCCAAGGGTGGCTCGGGAGGCTCTGCTGAGGTTCAGGGAGAGCAAGGACTCCACCATGCTGTCACTGTAGATGTACGCTAGGACTGTTCACCACTCGTGTGCTAGTAAGTTATCTATATGATGCTTTGAATAAGCTGTGCATGTAAATATGCATGAGAACATCCATTTATAACTCATAATTTGTATCTGTGGTGGCTAGTTTATGATAGGAGACAGCATAAGGTGCATGCATCAAGGAGTGCCTTGTATACCCACTCAAATCCTAAATGCATGGTGGTGGGGTCAAGGCTCCGACGGCAGTTGCTTGTGCAGCCAGAGGTTGAGCCCACCGTCCACATGGAGGAGGTTTGTGAACCCCGCCACGTGCAGCTCGTAGCACGCCTTGAGAGACCTGCCACGGAGCACAAGGCATCCACACGGAAACACATACCCCCAGGTTCAAGGCTCTGAGGAGAATGCAACTCCAACGCAAGGCATGGAGGGAGCTGTTGCTTGTCATTCCATCCCTACCGCAGTCCCAGCAGCACAGCCCCACCTGGACTGGATGCCGAAGCGCTTGTCCGGGTCTCTGAACTCCATGCCTTTGCGCATCGACACATTCTGCAGGGTGCCCCCTCGCCCGCACATCACGATCACGCGGCGGGTCCTGTCCCCCCCCACGGCGGCCAGTGCCTGGGCCAGCAGGTCGGGGTTCCGCTCCGTGCCGCGGAAGTCGCCCATGGCGGCGTACCCTGCGCGGCGCGCCCACGCGGTAAGCCCGTCGCCCTGGATGAGGCGGAACAGCGGCGCGCTCACCGCCCCACGCGCGTGCACCGCCTCGTAGTCCCCCGCCTCCCGCACGTCCAGCAGCACCGCCAACCCGCCCTCCGCACGCCCACTGGCCGCGCTGCCCTCCCCGGCCTCGGTGGTGCCGTACGCCATGGCTGCTGCCTCCTCCGGCGACACACTCCTCAGCCCCAGCGCTGTGAGCTCGTTAAACACCACTGCCGGGGGGGAGAGGGGGGGGGGAAGAAGGGGCAAGAGAAGGGGGGAGAGAAGGGGGGAGAGAAGGGGGGTAGAGAAGGGGGAAAGAGAAGGGGGGGAGAGAACGGGGGGAGAGAAGGGGGGTAGAGAAGGGGGAAAGAGAAGGGGGGGAGAGAAAGGGGGTAGAGTAGGGGGGAACAGGGGGTGATGGTGTGGAGGGAAAGCGAGAGCGCAAGGGTGTAGCAGGTGGTGGAGGACGAGAGCAATTCGCATGAACTCTGATTGTTGCCCGTGGATTGTGCAAGTGCGAAAGCCGCGGTGCGTGCAGCCCACATAGCGTACCAGCAGCCCACATAGCGTACCAGCAGCCCACATAGCGTACCAGCAGCCCACATAGCGTACCAGCAGCCCACATACCATACCAGCACCCCACATACCGTACCAGCACCCCACATACCGTACCAGAACCCCACGTACCGTACCAGCAGCCCACATACCGTACCAGCAGCCCACATAGCGTACCAGCAGCCCACGAACCGTACCAGCAGCCCACGTACCATACCAGCAGCCCACATACCGTACCAGCAGCCCACATACCGTACCAGCAGCCTACATACCGTACCAGCAGCCCACATACCGTACCAGCAGCCCACATACCGTACCAGCAGCCCACATACCGTACCAGCAGCCCACATACCGCACCAGCAGCCCACATACAGTACCAACAGCCCACATACCGTACCAGCAGCCCGCATACCGTACCAGCAGCCCACATAGCGTACCAGCAGCCCACGTACCGTACCAGCAGCCCACGTACCGTACCAGCAGCCCACGTACCGTACCAGCAGCCCACATACCGTACCAGCAGCCCACATACCGTACCAGCAGCCCACATACCGTACCAGCAGCCCACATACCGTACCAGCACCCCACATACCGTACCAGCACCCTACATACCGTACCAGCACCCCACATACCATACCAGCAGCTCACATACCGTACCAGCAGCCCACATACCGTACCAGCAGCCCACATAGCGTACCAGCACCCCACATAGCGTACCAGCACCCCACATACCGTACCAGCAGCCCACATACCGTACCAGCAGCCCACATAGCGTACCAGCAGCCCACATAGCGTACCAGCAGCCCACATAGCGTACCAGCAGCCCACATACCGTGCCAGCACCCCACATACCGTACCAGCAGCCCACATACCGTACCAGCAGCCCACATACCGTACTAGCACCCCACATACCGTACCAGCACGGCACCCCACATGCCGTACCAGCACCCCACATACCGTACCAGCACCCGACATACCGTACCAGCACCCCACATACCGTACCAGCACCCCACATACCGTACCAGCACCCCACATACCGTACCAGGAGGTGTATTCGAAGGAGCCGTCGAAGAGGGTGTCCACGCGGCCCTTCTTCGCCTGGGCGAAGCACAAGGCGTTGGGCAGAGCACAAGGGGTTGGGCGGAGCACAAGGGGTTGGGCGGAGCACAAGGCGTTGGGCAGAGCTCAAGACGTTGGGCGGAGCACAAGGCGTTGGGCGGTGCACAAGACGTTGGGCGGAGGCTATCTGAGGTGAGAGAACGCGCTGTGGCTGCGAGCACGGCGAGCCCACGGACGCAGCCAGACCGCTCGAGCTATCACGCAGGTCCAGCTGGCCACCGCGCCCCGATCACCAACCGCCCCGCGTACCTTGTCCGCTGCCTGCGCCCGCGGCTGCTTGGTGAATGCGGGGACGACCGCCGCGGGGGTGCGTCCTCTCCCCATGGCCCCGGCTACAGTCGCATGGCTGCGCAGATCATTGCGAGTGACGAACGCCGACGACGATAAAGGGCATGTGGTAACGCGAAGAGTGGACGCCATGGCCGAACAACCTCTGCCTCACTGACGCCACTGTGCACGCCAAATCGTGCTCTGCGGCTTCCAGCAAAAAAAAACGGAAACAGAAAATGAGCGTCGCACGTTTGGCGATAGGCATCGCGGGGGAGGCTGTGGTGTCGCTGGGTTCGTCGGCCTCGCATGCATCTCGCCCGCTCGCACTCACTCTCGCCCACCTCGCCTCGCCTCGCCAGCCTCCCAGGTACAACCCAGAGGGAGGGGAATTGGTGGCTGCCTGCTGTCGTGGGGGGTGATTGGCGAGAAAGCTGCCACGCGACTTCCTCTAATGTCACATGTTGCAATCTCTGCATCTTTCCAGAAATCCTTCGGCAGTGTAGAAAATTGTTGTGTAAGTCCACAAATCAGAAAAAACCATTAGTTACAACGAGCAGGGAAACTCGAGGCCAACGTGGCGGGCTGTGGGATTGTGTGATCCAGCCAGCAAATGGGTTTGGCGCAAGCAGCCAGCTAGCGTCCCCTCAAGAACGAAGCTGACGAGGCGAGCGAAGGCCACGCGTCCCTCAATCCGCTCCCCACAATTGATGAGACTGTCGCACAGCGACGGGGAATGTGAATCCGCCAATTACCCCATCCCACCTTCTCCTACCCCATCCCAGCCCATTCCATCCCCTCCCACCCACAGCATCTATGGATCGCCACTAGGGATCATCACGGTATTGTTGCTGCACGCAGAACGCACAGAGCTTTCTTCGCTTTGTGCACCAGGTGATCGAAGAAAGTAGGTGTTCCCCAGTGTTGTGCAACTCCGTTGCTTTGGGACAAGTGTGTCGCAATGGCTGCCGTCACGACTCTCGCCCTCGAGGTTGCCTCCAGTAGCATCGCCACAGAGAGGCTTGTTTCGCGGCAAGCCCAGGCGCCGAAGCTGCTGCAGCGCCCACGATCAGCGTTCCTCGCGCAATGCCCGGCAAAGTGTCTCGTTTCTTGCAAATCCCACAGCGCGAGGCGCGTGCTCCCAGCGGTGGCGGCGTCCGACAGCAGCACGGAGACGTCGGCGGCGGCGGGCGGTGGGGCGGCGGAGTACCTGGAGGTGCTGATAGAGTCGGACGCGGGCGTGAGCTACGACCACCTGGCGGACAAGCTGGCGGCGGGGCAGTGGGAGGAGGCGGACAACGAGACGCGGCGCCTGCTGTGCGTGCTGGCCGGCGAGGCCGCGGCCAAGCGCAAGTGGGTCTACTTCACGGAGGTGCAGAACATACCCGATAAAGACCTACTCACTATTGACCGATTGTGGCGGGCGTACAGCAAGGACCGGTTCGGGTTCAGCGTGCAGCGGCGCATGTGGCGCGCGCTGAGCCGGCAGTGGAAGCCGCTGTTCCTGCAGATCGGGTGGACGTACGGCCCCAACAGCACGTACAAGAAGTTCCCCATGGAGTTCTCGTGGGAGCTGGACGCGCCCGTGGGCCACCTGCCGCTGACCAACGCCCTGCGAGGCACGCAGCTGATCGAGAAGCTCTTCACGCACCCCGCGCTGGCCGCGTTCGACGCCGACGAAACCATGCCCGACCTCGACCTCGTGCCCAGCGTCGCCGCCGCGCAGCCCGACAATGCCGCCGCCACCCCCAGCAGCAGCGGCGCCGTGGGAGGCACGATGTTCGACGAAGGCTTCAACAGCGCCGACTACGGATTCTGACGGGCTGCCACCGGCGAGAAAGACTTTTGTACGCCTGGCTTGCTGGTCTGTTCGGATTCTGGTACGCCCCAGCGCAAAAGCAAATTTCATTTACGAATCTCACTGATGCGCTTAGACAGGAACCATTCTTAGACGAAGCTTTAGAACTTAATAGAAACAATCAATAATATGATCTATCTCGTTGCACCTTGCCACCCTCTTCCGAGTCATATGCACATGCCTCTCCCCCACCACCATCCCCTCACTCCCTCTCCCCCCAGTCCCCCCTCCCCCAATCTGCCGCTTTGCCTTCCTGATTCCGCGCACCCGCGTCCTCTACCTCCTTGCCCCTGAACATCTCATCCCGCACTCTCGTTCTCCCTGGCTGCTGCTTGCTGTAAAGCCCCGTCACAACGCTGAGTCCTCGCCACTAACACATTATGTATGCAGATAATTACCATTGGATACGACGAACATTCGATAAAGGGAAACATACCAATGCTTGATGGTGATGCCGACATGAAAGGATAAAAATCGCCAGGGCATGCTGATGCGCACTTGTCTTTCACCCATGTGAAGTGGGCATGGTACTGTAAGAGTATTATTTTTTCGATCGTAGGTGCAAATGTGGGCGAGGAGGTGACTACATCTGCAAATCGAAAATACTGCTGCAAGCAAATGTTATAGTTCCTGCTTCTGAAGCAGGGCCTCAGATTGGTTTTGAGGTACCCTGATTGCTCAGGGTCCCCCCCCATGTTTACCCTGATTTTTCAGGGCTCAAAAAAAAAAATCCGCTGAGTAATCAGGGTTTCTTCAAAATTTTACGCTGATTTGACGAAATTGGGAGATGGGCGGAACGACGTTCGGGGAGGGCACAGACGGGACGGAATGGGGGTGGGGAAGGAGGGAGGGAGGATTCCTGCGGGAATCATGATGATGCTGAGCCCATCAAATTTTGCGGTTACACTTTCAGGAAGCCTCTGTCAACTTATACATATTATCTATGTAGAAGTTATAGGCTAGACTGAGGTATGCTTCTAGTGAGTACAACCAACTAGTATTTGTTCTAGGTTTCCACCTCTAGTAATCATTCGTTTCTAAGTTAACATGGTATCACGCTTAGGTTAGGATCCCCCCGCCTACCGCTTCCGCCCGTCGCGCCTCCTAGGCCCCGTCGCGCCCCCTAGGCCCCGTCGCGCCCCCCCTGGGCCCCGTCGCGCTCGTTAGGCCCCGTCGCGCCCCCCCTGGGCCCCGTCGTGCCCGCTGGGCCCCGTCGCGCCTCCTAGGCCCCGTCGCGCTCCCCCTGGGCCCCGTCGCGCCCGCTGGGTCCCGTCGCGACCCCTAGGCCCTAACGCGCCCCCGCTGGGCCCCGTTGCGCCTCCTAGGCCCCGTCGCGCCCCCCATGGGCCCCGTCGAGCCCGCTGGGCCCCGTTGCGCCTCCTAAGCCCCGTCGCGTCCCCCCCCTCTGGGCCCCGTCGCGCCCGTTCGGCCCCGTCGCGCCCCTCCTAGGCCCCGTCGCGCCCGCTGGGCCCCTTCGCGCTTCCTAGGCCCCGTCGCGCCTGCTAGGCCCCGTCGCGCCCCCCCTGGGCCCCGTCGCGCCCGTTAGGCCCCGTCGCGGCCCCCCTGGGCCCCGTCGTGCCCGCTGGTCCCCGTCGCGCCTCCTCGGCCCCGTCGCGCCCCCCCTGGGCCCCGTCGTGCCCGCTGGGCCCCGTCGCGCCCCTTAGGCCCCGTCGCGCCCGCTGGCCCCTGTCGCGCCTGCTGTTAGCGCTCGCCCGCCTGGCCTCCTCCTAGTGCCGCTCGGCCTCCTCCTAGTGCCGCCCGGCCTCCTCCTAGTGCCGCCCGGCCCCTTCCTAGCGCCGCCCGGCCTCTCTTCAGCGCTGCCCGGCCCCTCCTCGTGCCCGACCGGCCCCAGCAGCACCAGCCTGGCCCCTCCCAGCACCAGCCCGTCCCCAGAGCACCTGCCCGCCTCCCCTGCTCGGCCTGCCGTGTCCTCTCGGGCCCTGTGTCTTCTGCTTGCCTGCGCTGGGACGCCTAGCTGCTGCCCTACTGGAGAGTGCTGCCGCCGTGTCCCCGCGCCGCTGTGCTCCTGTGCCGCTGAGGAGCTGTGCTGCTGTGCCGCTGTGTCGCTGAGGAGCTGTGCCGCTGACCCTGCACGATGGCTGACTTTGTGCTCCGCCTGGACGCTGAGGGCCACGCGGTTGACTTCGCCGCCTGGCTCTCCGATCTTCGCCGCCAGCTTACAGGTCAGCGCCAGGATGGCCACTCTCTGGTTGTCCATGCTGATGGCTTGCTCCCCCGTCCCCCTGCACCTACTCCCCTCCCTGCTGACCCCTCCTTTGATGACCGTGAGGCTTTCTCTACTGCTGCGCTGGCCTGTGCGGTCTGGGACTCACGCGATGCAGTAGCTCAGGTTGCTATTAGTCACGCCCTCCCTGTGTCTGAGCGCTCGCGTTTTGCTACTGTTGAAACGGCCAAAGCTTATTTAGACGCCGTTATTGCTCGCTATTCCACCCCTGCCTCCGCTTCTGCTGGCCGCTTGCTCTTTCCGATGCTGTTCCCAGACCTGGCTGCCTTCCCTACTGCCGCAGATTTTGCCACTCATTTGCGTGCCCTAGAGACTCGCTATCGCACTGCCAGCACTGCTGCCCAGCTCACTGCGCTCCCCCCTCCTTTCTGCATGACGCTCTATTTTATCGCTATGCGCCTGCCAGACCGCCTCGCTAGTGCTCGCGACCACTTTCTTAGCCAGCACCCGGGTGACCTCACCCTGACCGCCTTTGTCGACACCCTCACTGAGATCGAGACTCGCCAGCGCACTATCGCTCAGTCGAGCGGTGCGCCGCCAGTCTCTATCTTTCACGGCTGTGCCCCATCCCAGTGCACGTTCACTGACGTTTCGGCTGCGGTCGCCACGGCGACCCGTCTTACCGAGACGGCTGCTGCTGTCCACCCGCAGCAGCGCTCGCGTCGCGGTGGCCGTGGCCGCCAGGGAGGTAGAGGTGGTGACGCAGGTGGTAGTGGTCGTGGTGGTGGTGACGGTAGTCCGCCTGAGGGGACTACCACCGGTGGGCAGGAGCAGCAGCCCCAGCAGCAGCAGGACCAGCCCCAGCCGCAGCCGCCGTCCCAGCAGCACCCGCCGCCGCCGTGGGCTCGTCTCCCGCCTGGTTGGCCCGGCACCTCCGGAGGCGGTGGCCGTGGTGGCGGCCCGCGCAGCTTGGCGTCTACCAGCGGCTCCAGTGCTGTGACCTGCCAGTACCAGCTTCAGACCGGGCCTCTCCGCGGCACTCTGTGCCGCCGCCCGCACCCGACCGCCCGCTGTTTCCGCCGCCTCGACGATCTTTTTCGTCGTCGCTTTGGCCCGGCCCCGGACCTCCCTGACTGGCACAGCCTGCTCCGCCAGGGCGTGCCGATCTTTGAGTTAGACATGGATCAGATAGGTGCTGCTTTGCATGCTTTGTATGCTGACGCTTCTAGTGTTGCTGGATCTTACTACCCTGTGTACTCTAGTTTAGGTGTTTCACCCTTGTGTAGCTTAGCTTCCCCTGCTGCGACAGGCGTAGGACTGCCTAGGTTGCCTAGTCTAGTCGCTGCACCGGCTCCGTCCCCGGCCTCCGCCACTGCGTCGCTGTCCTTCACTCTCGACTCTGGTGCTTCTGCCTGCTTCTTCCGCGACCGTTCCACGCTCACGCCGCTTGCTGCACCTGCTGTTGTCTCTCTCGCTGACCCCTCTGCGGGTCCGGTCGTCGCGCGCAGCTCTACGTCCCTTCCCTGTCCGGCAGTTCCCTCGGGCTCCCTTACTGGCCTCCACGTTCCCTCGTTCTCCAGGAACCTGGTTGGTGTCGGCTGTCTTCAGGACCTCGGCGTCACCACCACGTTCCCCGGGCACGAGCGGTTCGCTGTCTGTTCTGAGGCTGTCTCAGGTTCCCCCCTTGCGACGTTCCCCCGGGACCCGGTGTCCGGTCTGTTTACCCTACACACCGCTTCCCCCCCGGTTGGTGCGTCCTCCCAGGTCGCTGCAGCTTGCTCGTGTCGGTCCCTCACTCACCCCTCCCTTCTCTGGCACCACCGCTTAGGTCACCCTGCTCTCCCGCGTCTGCGTCACATGTCCCAGCACGGTCTTGTCTTAGGTCTCCCCGCGTCGCTCCCTGCCCTTCCTCCCTCGACTGCGCCACCGTGCACGCCTTGCGTCGAGGGTCGGCTCCGCCGTGCTCCTCACTCCTCCTCGCTGCGTCCTGCTACTGCCCCCCTTCAGACCCTGCACTTGGACGTTTGGGGCCCTGCCCCCGTCCCCGGACCGCGCGGTGAGCGCTACTTCCTTGTGCTTGTCGACGACTACACGCGCTACACCACGGTGTTTCCCCTGGAGCGGAAGGCCGACGTGCCCGACGTTCTTCTCCCGTGGGTTGTGGCTGCGCGTCTCCACCGCGGTCTCCCCGTGTTGTGTCTCCACTCCGACCGTGGCGGCGAGTTCGCCTCTGGTCGGCTTGGACAGTTCTGTCGTGCGGAGGGCATCACCCAGTCGTACACGTTGCCGGACTCGCCACAGCAGAATGGGGTTGCTGAGCGCCGCATCGGCTTGGTCATGGAGGTCGCCCGTACCTCCATGATCCATGCCGATGCCCCCCATTTTCTGTGGCCGTTCGCTGTTCGCTACGCGGCTCACCAGCTTAACCTGTGGCCACGCTCCCAGCGGCCGCAGGTTTCGCCGACCCTCCTTTGGACCGGGTCCCCCGGTGACGCGTCTGCGTTCCACGTCTGGGGCTGCCTTGCTCACGTTCGTGCCTCTGGCACGGACAAGCTCACTGCCCGCACTGTCCCCTGTGTCTTCCTCGGTTTCCCCCTGGACTCGTCTGACTGGCTTTTCTACCACCCGCCGTCTCACCGCTTCCTCCACTCTCGTGACGTCACCTTTGACGAGTCCGTCTCCTTCTACCGCCGCTTCCCTCACCGAGGTCTCCCAGTTGCCCCCCCCCTTTTCCTTGCTCCCTCTCCCCCGGTAGCCCCTGCCCCTCTCCCGCCTCGTCCTGCCCCGTCTGGTGTCTCCCACGTCACTCCCCTCCCGTCGGTTGTCCCCGTTGAGGAGTCTGCTGACTCTGGTGGTACCCCCGGTCCGTCCTTGCCGCGTCCCCCTTCCCCGGTGCCTCCGCCCCCACTGTCGCAGTCGCCGACCCCGCTGCCGCCGCCGTCGCCGTCGCCGCCGCAGCCGTCGCCGCTGTCGTCGCCGCCGCCGCCGCTGTCGCTGCCGCAGCCGTCGCTGCTGTCGCCGCCGCCGCAGCCGTTGCCGCCACTGCCGCCGCTGCTCTCGGCCCCTGGGGGTGCTGGTGTGGAGGAGGGTGTTCGTCCTGCGGCTTCTGGGGGTGCCGCTGGTGTTGGAGGGGGTTCTCGCTCTGGGGGTGTTGGTTCTGGGGGTGCTGCTGTTGAGTGTTCTGCCGACGGTCGTTCTGCCTCTGCTGGTCCGAGAGTTCCGGCCCAGCCGTCGTCGCCGCCGCAGCAGCCGTC